GAAGTCATATTTTATTTCTCAAAAAAAACTGTCCACTTGCTTTGCGAGCATTTTTTGAAACTGAAACAAGTGAGCTAAATTTTTGGTTTGTTCATGGACAACTAAATATTTTTAATAAAACTGTATTAGTTATGGAAAAAAGTCAATCAAACGCAACAGACTATTTTGGAACTAAAAAAATAAAAAAGTGGTAAACTTCTTTTGTAAACAATCCATCACTTATATTGAACTGTTGGAAAATAGTTTTGGTGGAGATGAAGTTATTTGCGTGGATTGGACTTGATCACAAATTAAAATGGGAGGCTATTTAACAATCTGTTGAAACTATAAACAATATTCATGGTTCAGATGATCAACAAAAAATTAATATTGACAGTTTTTTAGATAAGATGTCATGTGCAAAAACATTTTTTGCATCAAAAAAGGAAGAAAAGGACATTCCTTGAATGTCCAAATCGCTTATGTTGAAAAATGGATTCAATTATTCAAGCATTTTCAAGAAAAAGACAAATTCTAATCTGGTAAAAGTTATTGAATAACTTTGTGTTTGCCAGGAACATCTGCACCTTTATAGAGTATTATTTCAATCATGAAAAACATTTGTTCAGATGATCGAAGTTTTTTAAAGGAGTCTAAGGTACGTGCTTTACTGTACTGCAAGTTGAACTTTGGCATTACATGCTCACTTTTTTATAAGAAAATTAAAAAAGATTATAACTTGCTTAAAAAAGTACGTAACTCATATAATAACAGTGAATACTTTTTTTCTCATTTTTCTTTTGTTAGACTAAACCAATAATACAAAAATATTTTGGTGTTGTTTCTTTGCTTTGGATCTCTTTAGTAGTTTAGTAATTGATCAATTAAGCTCTTCTTTTTTTATATATACTTTCATGACACCTAGAAACAGGGTGACATATTTTTTGAAGCTCAAAAAAACAAAAAATTTTCTTTCCTTCTTCCCTTTCTGGTTATTTATTTCAGCATCTTGCAATACCTAAAACACACACACACACCAATACCTCTTTCTAAACACCTTCCCCCAACTCAATTCTTTCCTCCTCCTCCTTCCGCCGCAACCCCTGCGTGTCCCGGTTTACAACTTTAAAATTATGTTAATGTCATTTTAGCTACGTATCTGACAATATACGAGATAAATACTTTTTTCTATTTGAATAGAATGCTGCAATTTGAAATATCTGCATAATCGTGTTCACTATTAGTTGGTTTTCTCTCCAACAAATCATATTTTATTATTAATTCAATTTCAGTCAGATATTTTAGTACTGGTGTTTTAGTACTACTTTAGTACTGGTGTGAGCAAAAGAAAAAAGAATCTAAAGCTTTTAAAATATGAGTTTTATCTCAGATGCTGCAGTTTCCATTTGAACATTGAACACTACTTTGCATTAAGCGTTGTTTATATGTGGCTGTGAGTTATTGGCATTTGATATTGTTGTTAAACATTCTTGCAGATCTTACAGCTAAATAAGACCTCACAGCACAATAATGTTGAATGGTTTTGACTGAGCTTATATGTTAAATGATTTTATAGTGAACCTTCTTCTTTTTCTTCTCAGTCGAGATATATATTTTAAACAGATTTAACTGCTTACAAATATCTAATGAAATCAGTTTTTAGACTATACAAGATCATTTGCGTGCCAATTAATCTCTTTAAGACTAATGATATAATTACATGCCATGTCAAGAAATGGAAAACAAAGAGTCTTGTTACATGCACACAATGCTAATTTGTTCCCATTGGCAAAAAGGTTTCTTGAATTTAATATGTCATGTAATCAATCTTATATGCAAATAAACTCATCGGCATTCATATAAAATTATTTAACTGCAACATACAGTTTAATAATGTAAAAAAGTCAGCAAACTATATATAATATAAAAAAGTCAGCAAACATAATACAGCAGGTAAACAGTATATATAACTTTAGTTAAAGAGATGTTTCAAAGAGGTGCTTTGAATATTTGTATATTAAAAATTTAATAAATACATTTTTTTCAAACAAATGTATTTTTGCATACATTTTCATCACCGATTGTATTGAGTGATTATCATTTAAGTTATAAGAAATGATTATTTACTTTTTATTTGTTTTAAAAGTTATTATAAGTTATTATTTTAATCATATAATTTATGCAATAATAACATTTAAGTATAATATAAGTCTAGAAGAAGCCCCTGAGTTTTTGTGTACTTACAGCACTCAGTTAATAGTTCACGCTGCATTTGTACAAATTTATATCTTGTTAAAAAATATATAAAGTAGACATGATTGCTGCTGTTTACCATGCTGTTATGCATGGTAAACAGCAGCAATTATTAACCTTCTAGTATTCAGCATTGGGTTCTTAGTTATAGTATTCTTAGTTAGAACTAAAAGAGACATAAGTTATACATAAAACTAAAATTGTAAATTTTACCAATACCATTTAATAATAAATTCAATTGTTCAAAAAAATAATTTTTTTTTCTCCAGTAATTATAGAATTAATTTTTTTTTTTTTTTACAAATGTATTAGTCTATTTTCTTTTGTATTTAGATAAAGTAAAATAGAATGTAATGATTTTAGTTGCTTGCGGTTTCACCGCAAGCAACTAAAATCGCCGCCATCTTAGGAGGCCAATTTTGGCTTTTTTCGGAAAAAACCACTGATCTCAAAATAATAACTGGATAGCGCATTAGGAAAAATTTTTGAAGCCAGTTTTGGCCTACCAAGATGGCGGCGTAGTTTGCCAACAGTTATAGAAGTACCGTTTAAAAAATCAAAAAACCTTAAGCGTAATCGATAAAGATATTTTAAACACATATAAGGTTTTTTTTTTTTTTTTAAAAAAAACAATTTTTAAAAATAAAAGTATATATATATATATATATATATATATATATATATATATATATATATATATATATATATATATATATATATATATATATATATATATGTATATATATATATATATATATATATATATATATATATATATATATATACATATATATATACATATATATATATATATATATATATATATATATATATATATATATATATATATATATATATATATATATATATATATATATATATATATATATATATATATATATATATATATATATATATATATATATATATATATATATATATATATATATATATATATATATATATATATATATATATATATATATAATATATATATATATATATATATATATATATATATATATATATATATATATATATATATAATATATATATATATATATATATATATATATATATATATATATATATTTATACATATTCATAAAAAATATATATACATTGCTTAATATAAATATTATTTATCCTATTATATATATATAATATGTATATTAGAAAAAATAATATTTATATTATGCAATATATATATTTTTTTTATAGATATGTATAAATTTATTCTATTATAAGATAAACAAAGTCCTTCAAAAAAATTTAATAACCAATTTATGTACCTTTTAGTTCTTAATTATCTTATGCTGTGTGCTAGAAGGTTAATAACACAACTGCATGATAGGCAGCTTAGTATCTGTTTAATATGAATCAATCTTAAAAAAATTTGTTTTAAACAGATACTTGTAATGTACATATGCTGCATGAACTATTAGCTGAGCTCTGCGAGTACACACAACTCAGAGGTTCCTTCTAGAGTTTGTTATCATTAATTATTTTAGTTTAATTTTAATAGATTTTTCTTTTAATACAAATAAATATACTAACTATATACACACACATAAATATACTCACCTAGTACATTTAAGTGAGTATATATATATATATATATATATATATATATATATATATATATATATATATATATATATATATATATATATATATATATATATATATATATATATATATATATATAAATGTTTGTATGTATATTATATATATGCATATATAACTCCTGATAAGTCGTAACTTTTAAGTGTCCGAGCAAATACTGGAAGTTCAATTTTTTAAAGGTTTGAGTTATCAGGAATTTTCTGTGTATATATCGATGACATAGTGCACAGATGTGGTAAGTGCAAGATTAAAACTGTAGAAACTGTCATTTGTGTGCGTAATTATAATTAGTTTTTGTATTTACCACATATTGTCAGTTATTAGACTCTTTATCGTTTATCCTACACATACCATATTTATGCACAATAAACTATAAATAAAAACAGGTTTTTCTGCGTACTTATCTCAATTTGACCAAAATTTGTACTTACCATATCTGTGCACTAAAATGGTATATTAAAAACAAATGTTTTCATTGATTTTTGAATAAGACAAATTTAATCAACTGCTTCCTGAACTTTTTTCCAGTCAATTTGTTAGTTACTTCTTTGCATAGGTGATGAAAGTGTATTTTTCAGTAATTTTTTGAAATAACTTTAATCAGTGAGAATAAATGCTTATCAGTTAAAGACGAATCAAGCATATGATGAGTTAGTTCTGTGAATACTTTTGATATATCAACTGATCTCAAAACAACACTTGCATTTGCATTTTTAATTCCTATATCATTAGGGAGGGTAATATTTGTTGATGTAAGAAACCTTTGGAAACATCTTTCTGTTCCTTCGCATACCAAAACAACACTTTTGCTTGGTTTAAATAAACCTCCTCTAGAGAATTTATTCTCGGTAAATCTGCAGTTAAGCGGCGTAAAATAATTATATTATTTTGCTTTTTGCGCTCTGGTTCGCGGAGACTAATAAACAAAAGAAATTCAAAACGAGTTTTAATTGCTTTGAAAGGTTTAAAATAAGAAAGCTTTAAAAAAAATTGTATTTTTATTTTCAAACATATTTCTATATAACAATAATAAATATAATATATATGTATATATATATATATATATATATATATATATATATATATATATATATATATATATATATATATATATATATATATATATATATCGCAGAGACCGAATGAATAGCAGAGGTGGTGGAGTCTGTATTTATGTAAATGACCTAATTGATTCATTTGAAGTCAATAATGAACCCTATAATAATAAAGATATTGACCAGATATGGTGTACCATTAAAATGAGCAATGAATGCATATTATGTGGCTGTATTTATAGACCAGGAAGTGATGATTTAGTAAACTTTCAAAATGTAATCAATTCTATTAAAGAAAGTTACAATTACTTCTCAAAAACTAAAATATATACTGAGGTTTTGATATGTGGTGACTTCAATTTTCCATCCTTGAATAGTATATGGAATTCTTGTTATGAAAGTGTCTGCATTGGAGAAAAAGAGAGACAGTTTCTAGAATGCATTGAAGAATTTCATCTCACACAACATGTAAAAAAACCAACATTTCAATTAAATGACACAAAATTAACAAATATATTAGATTTAGTATTTACAGCTTCTCCTTTTCGCATATCCAGCTTGGTACATAAGGATCCTTTGGGGAAAACAAAAAGAGGTCATCATGTTTTAAATTTTAATTTTAATTATCAATTACATAATCGCAAAAATGAAAGTATTACTACAAAGCGAGTATACATGAAAGGAAATTATCATGAATTTTCAAAATATTTAAATAAATTTAACTGGAGTCATGAGTTTACTGGACTTAATGTTGATCAGTGTTATGAAAGTTTTATTAGAACTATTGAATACGGCTGTAAAGATTTCATACCGTCATTTAATCAAAAAACAACTGAAAGCAAAAGATCCTTATGGATGAATAAAGAATTAAAACACGAAATTCGACTTAAGCGTAACCTTTGGTATCGATTCAAAGCCTCTCATTTCAAAAATTTAGATCTTAAGGAAGAATATAAACTAAAAAATAAGTTAGTTAAAAAACTTGTAAAGATTACAATACAAAAATATGAAAATAAAATTGCAACAGAATCAAAAAAAAATCCAAAACAAGTTTATGCTTATATTAACAGTAAACTAAAAGCTAAAGACCATATAAGAGCAATTTCAATTGAAAACAATGAAATATCAACTGACAGTCAAGTTATTGCTAATCAGTTAAATCGGTTTTTCAATTCTGTATTCATAAACGAAAGCCTAACTAATATGCCTACATGTGAAAATATAGCAGAAAAAATTTACCCAACCCCATTGTTTAATGAGAAAGATATTAAAAAACGATTACTGAATCTAAATGTGCACAAGTCCCCAGGTATCGATAGAATTCATCCAATGTTTTTAAGTAAGTGTGCTGACAGTTTAGTTAGACCACTCTGTATGATATTTAACCAATCATTTCTAACTGGAACATTGCCTACAAGCTGGTTAGAAGCAAATATCACTCCAATTTTTAAAAATGGGGATAGGTTGAATGCAGGTAACTACCGTCCAATTTCATTGACCTCTGTTGTTTGTAAAGTAATGGAAAGTATTGTTAAGGATACAATAATGAACCATTTAAATAAAAATAAGTTATTAATACCAGAACAACACGGATTCATTAAATCAAAAAATTGTGTAACAAACCTTCTCGAGACATTAGACATAATAACAGAAGCAATAAATTGTAGAAAATGTGTTGATGTTGCCTTTTTAGATTTTTCTAAGGCATTTGATTCAGTTCCGCATTCCAGGCTGCTCTTGAAACTTAAGTCATTTGGTATTGTCGGAAAATTGTTGCAATGGTGTTTTTTAGCAAATCGAAAACAGAGAGTTGTTTTGGGACTGTTTGAATCAGAATGGGAAACAGTTCGTAGTGGGGTACCACAAGGATCGGTCTTAGGACCCTTACTTTTTATAATTTATATAAATGATTTAACAAAAAAGTTGAATAATAAAGCAAAACTATATGCAGACGAATTTTAATAAAGATAAATGTAAAATCATGCATTTTGGTCGTGATAATCAGAAAATAAAGTATAATTTAAAATATAATGCTACAGAAACAAAGATTATTCAACATGGACTAATAGTAACGTCATTGGAAAGAGACCTTGGTGTTTATATTTCAGATAATTTAAAATGGGAAGACCACATTGAAAAAATGGTAAGTAAGGCGAATCAAAAATTGGGTATGTTAAAGCACGCAATCCTCTATCCAGATGAAACATCAACAAAATTGTTATATATGTCACTCGTTCGGCCACACTTAGAATATGCTTTTCAAGTGTGGAACCCATATTTTATTAAAGATATAAACTTAATAGAAAAAATTCAGCAAAAAGCTACAAAATTTGGCTACAAAAAAAAGAAAGACAGTTACGAGCAAAGATTACAGAAAATGGACTTACAAAATCTATCAAAGAGAAGGGAAAAAGGTGATCTTATCCAAATGTACAAATTCATGAACAAAATTGATACTATCAATTGGCATCGTGAACTAGAAGTATTGGGTAGGCTAACTAGAGGACACAATCAAAGGTTGCGAAGGCAGTATGTTCAAAACTTTTTGCCGAGGCATCATTTCTTCACTAACCGTATAGTTGAAAATTGGAATCGTTTGGACAGTGAAGTTGTTAACGCTAATTCAGTAATTGATTTTAAAAATAAACTTAAAAAGTTTAGCGAAAAACAGTTGTTAAAATCTAACATCTACAGTTGTTAGATTCTTTCTTGAAACTCTTAAGAACACAACTTCAGTTATCATTATTATTATTATATATATATATACTATTATTATATATAAAATAATGCATATTGTATTAATATATTATATAAAAATAATATATTATATATAAATAATAAATATTAAATATTAAAAATAATAAACATTAAATGATAAATGTGTTTAGCGCTTTGACGCTATACTGATTTAGGGGTAGGCGAGGGCTTCAATACAACACGTCGACTGACTTAGGGAAAACTCGCAAGGGAGTTGGTAACACATCGAAGGGTCAGGGTTAGGGCAGGAATCAATTTATTTTCATCATTCTTCCTTTTCCCTCTTTTTTTTCATTCAAAACTAATATCGGTACTGCCCTGCACCTAAACACTCTATCGTAATTTTTGTTTAAGCCATGTTTTTAAAAATGTGTGGCTATGAAAATAGCCGTTTTATAAATGTATCAGTTATAGAGGATACTGACGGGAAATGCAAGTAAGAAATGCTGGGAATATTGGAAATTCTTTAAATCTTTGTCGCCAAATAAATTCATGAAGATGTGATGTAAATAAATCTTCATAAGTTCCAAATTGTTGCCGCAGTTTACACTTAGCGCGCATCCATAAATTCTCAATGTTTTGAGTGTGGATTTCGTTATCTAACGGATCAACAAAGTGACGTTTATGGATAACAACAGCATGGGAATAAATTCCATCATTCAGCCTTTCAATCCCAGCATAAGATGCCCATCCGTCTGAAACGATATGACTTCCCGGCAAAATAAATTCCAATATTGCGTTTTGGAGACTCTCAGCAGTTCTATCTGGCACTTCGACTAAAAAACACTTCCGCGAAACCCTTTCAATACCACCAAACACCCAATGACCTGGTCGCCATTGCTCGCGATGGTATTTGCAATGAAAAAACTTTGATTTGTCAATTTCAATTACAATCGGTGTCCCGTCAGCGTTAATAACACCAATAACTGAAGGATTTGTTTCTAGTTCAACTTCGCAAACATCGCGACAAAAGTTGGCCCAATCAGCAAAAGTATGACTAGCGTCGTTCATACCGGCTTCGTGTTGTATTTCTTTTTGAGGCATATTTCGACTCCAGCCATAAATATGGTAAATTAACTTTTGTAGTGGTAGCCTACTTTTGCTAAAAAAAGATCCTTCTCTAACACTTTGCCTCTGTTTGGACCCCTTGCAGTACCAACGGAAAGCATCCGCGGCATCTTTATATGCGTTTAAACTAAACGGCTGTTGACAATTGTTGCACTCCACATTATTTTTTATTATAATACGCTTTGCCAGCCACTTTAAAGCATCTAGTGGTTCTCTTATGTTGTGGCTAAGCTCCGTTAAACGCCAATTTTCATTTAACACAACTTGTTCAGGAATAATTTCATCAACTCCAACAATAGTCGTTGGGGCACTTGGACGTCCACGACCAACTGGTTGCATAGCCGTCTAATAAAATATGTAAATATTTAAATATGCTAAGCAAGTAATACCATCATTAAAGTTGAAGTTATATCAATACTAAAGTTTAATAAAATTGAAGTTTACCTGGAAAATATTAATACAAAACTTTGGAATATAGAATCCAAACTTTAACGCACTTAAACTTTAAAAATTTAAAAACTTTAAAAACGCTAACTAAACTCCTAGATAAAATTTAAAACTCGCTTTTAAAATTTAATAATTGATTTAAAATTTATTTTTTAATAATTATGATATCTTACGTAACGCAACTTTACATAATACGTTGATTTTTTTAAGTAAAAAATATATAATTATTTTACGCCGCTTAACTGCAGATTTACCATTTTTTACTTAGGAATATAAATATTGTTTTATATTTTAACTGAATATTGAGTCCAGAAAGTTAATGCATTAAATAATATAAATTTTATAATCCTAGAAGGAATCTCTGAGTTGTGTGTACTCACAGTTCTCAGCTAATAGTTCATACAGCATTTGTACAATAATTTTTCTACCTACAAAACTCATTATTTTAAAATTATTTAAAGATTGTAGGTAGACATCGTTGCTGCTTACCATACAGTTGTGTTATTAACCTTCTAGCACACAGCATTGGGTAATTAAGAACTAAAAGGTACATAAATTATAAACCTCATTTAAAAAGTGTATACTAGCTGAATATTTTAATAATTAGGAATCAAATAAATATTTTCCTTAAAAATAGTTTACTTTTCTTATTCGGTCAGAATTTTTATACGATTCAAACCGCTAACAGTTCTAACCGACGCCATCTTGGTAGGCCAAAATTGGCTTCAACTTTTTTTACGAAAAACAATAGAGATCAGTGGGAAAAAAAAATAGAATCCGCTATCCAGTTATATTTTGAGATCAGTGGATAAAATACATGAAAAAGTATTTTTTAATACAACTACATCTGCTTGTGTTGAAAGAAAAAAATATGTATATATTATTTTTGCTTATAAAGAATTTTAGATTTTTATTAAACCTATATTTGAATATTTTTAGGATTTTGCTCTGTCGTTTCAAATTGTTAAAAAATTATAAATAAAATTTAAAAATTAATTAATTTAAACATTATTATAGATCAAAAGAGTAAGAACTGTTAAAAAGTTTCTAATCTAAATTATTTCTTAAAAACATGTTTTTTTTCATTAACAATTATAATCTTCTCCACCTATTAAGTTAAAATACTAAAAAAAAAAAGGATAAACTAGTAGTTGCTGCTCTTTTTCTTTTATTTCCTTCAAGGAATACAATAGAAAATTCATGAATGATGAATTTTTAAAAGTTTAAATGCAATAGTTTAAATAATTCCAGCAGTAAGCAAAATCCTAACTTTTTCAAAGATCTGGAATTTATAGCTAAAGTTAAGAATCTAAAATATACCAAAATTAGTACCATGCCCCAAAAAATAAAAAAAATGTAGTCGGTAGTAAAGGTCGCAGCGCTCTGGGTACGTTTTTAAGTAAGGCTACTATATCAAAGCTTCTCAATATTATGAAAAATATGATGCACGAACAGATTGCACTGGAAGTGTCCAAAGCAAAAGTGTACTCCGTACAAGTTGATTCTACACAAGATATATCTGCAATTGACCAATTCAGCATTGTAGTTTGCTATGTTTTAGACTCTACTGTGCATGAACGGCTGCTTTCTATTCTACCAAGCAATGACGGTACTGGCCAAGACTTGTTCGATCTCTTAAGTTTAACGCTACAATGACTTGGCTTTAATTTGCAATACTGCTTATTGGACAGAACTGATGGTGCTTCAACTTATCATAGTTAGTACAACGGACTGCATAAAAATGTCATACAAGCATATATAAATATAAATAAATAAAAAATGTCATAGAAGCGAATGGCAACATGGATTAAAATTGTTGAAACACAAATTGGAATAGGTAAGATGAAAAGATTGAAATTGATTGGTGAAACAAGGTGGTCGGGTAAATCAAATGCTGCAACGGCGATATTTGGAACATTTGCTGAGCCATATTTAACAGTGTTTGTCAATTTATAAGCAAATCAGAAAATTTAATTCCTAAAAATGCCATTCCTAAAATTTGACACCATTTTGACTGCCTTTACCTACCTGCAAAGTTTTGAAAAAGTGGGACCAATATACCTGCAAACTTGTGGATTAAATATGTTGGTTGCATTCAAGATGGTGGAGAAGGCCGCAATTGAGTTGAAAAGTCAATCAAGACTTTTTGATGATGTTCATAATAACGCTCTTCAATTAGTTCGGATGGCAAACGCAAGCATCATCCAGAGAACTGAAACCATATTAGAGGTGAAGATAGAACTACCAGTTAAACGGAAGTGGAAGATAATAATGATGTTAGATGAACATACAGTTGACAAACGTGACAAATCTAAAGTTTAGAAAAACTACCAAATTCGCACTTACAATGCGGTGATGGATCAGGTAGTCCAAAGTCTTGAGTCACGTTTCACTTCACATCAAAAGTTATATATCGACATGGCATGTTTTGATACATCAAACTTTGGTGATATTGCCATTTCGGGAATTCCTGAAAACAGTTTACACAGCATTATCAAATTTTTACCAAATGCCGACGTTGATAGAATAAAGGCTATATTGTTGTCATTTGTCACTATAAGATTTTGAAATTGTCCTTGCCCTTAACAACAACATTGAGAGAATGCATATCAAAAAGATAATGTAGAAGAACAGCGCTGTTTCAGCATTGTTTTCTAAGCATTGTTTTCGAATTGCAACAGCATTGTTTTCTAAGTTAAAGTTAACCTAGACAAGATTGCAAAATTTTATGTCGAAAGACCACTTAGAGTCGTATACGTTAATGTCTTTAAAAAAAAGTCTACTTGATAGCCTTGAGTATGATATAATCATTCAAAGATTTTCGTCTTCTGAATTGAGCAAACTATTTAAAGAACAGTTATTGCTATACTTTGCACTGTGCAAATTGCACGTCATTTGTACTTTTTTAATTCAATATAATTTTATTAATCTGTGATTTAATTGTTCCTCTTAAGACTTTTTTTTAGAAAGTTGCGGACCGGAATGTCTTTGCAATATATGTATGGTCGGGAGAGCCCTTTAATTATTTTCATGGCCGGTAATATATATACAGCCATTGCGTGCAATAGGTTATTATTTTTACATAAAAAATTTTAAATACCAGTATATAAAAAATGAAAAACAGAAGGTTTTATTAAAATTAATTATATATATTCCATATATCATTTTACAGAGAATAAAGTTCTGCTTAGGAAACACTTGAACAATAGTTTTTTTTTTTTTTTTTTTTTGAAAAAAGCAAGATTTCTTTCTTGGGCAACCACCTTAATCTTATTGACTTTTATTTTAAAATATATTATTTTAATTAATATTGTTTTTTTCGCTCAGACTTTTAAAAACAATTTCACGTAAGTGTAATCCTTAGTTTTTATGCATTGAAAACAGACAGTTTTCGATACTTTTTTGCTACTACCCTTTACTATTAGATATCAGATAAACCATCCTCCAATATCCTCCAAACATTTGATTATGTAAATTTAACGCTAAATAGCCATGCATCATAAATATTTTGCTACTTTTTGCACTAAAAAAGTTATAACAAAACATTGGTCTTTGGTTAATAGTCAGTTGATGAGAAATACTAAACATGTAAAAAAGATGTTTTGTACACAAAGAATACCTACAAAATCTTTCATTACTGTTTTAATATATAAGTTCTGTAAATATAAATATAAAAAAGTTATTTTATGACAAATACGTGCATTGAAAAATAATTTTTTTGATGTTTACACTGATAAAAGTTGTCTTGTCCTTTGTATTTTTCACTAAAAAAAATTTTTTTCAAATTATTTTTTTTTATATGATACAATTACATGTTTATTACTTTATTTATGCATTTTATATATAAATATAGGTATTCTAATAAAACTACGAAAATACTTTTACCACAAAAAACTCGATATTATTCTACTGTGGAGAAGTGAGATCTCGGTAGTTTTTTTTATGGATAAAAATTATCCCGGTTAGGCGGGATGATTTTTATCCATATGAACACCCACTTAGTCAAATGGAGGTTGTTATAAGAATTATAAAAAAATTTAAAAGACTGTAAAAAGCCTATACAACCAATTTCTTTTTGACAATTATTTTAAAAATTCGCTTCAGACAATCACTATTGGTTTTTACTCAAGCACTTTGGAAAAAAACTTGTAAAGTTACTTTTGGAAAAATACTTGCATCAACACAAGTTTCATTTTTATCACGATAAATAAAAGCACTTCATAAAAACACATATTTACTTTTTTGCATGTTATTACAACTAAATAAAAACACATGTTTACTTTTTTGCATGTTATTACAACTAAATAAAAAGAGTTCTATATAATGTCTATAAAGAACGTCCTTTTCTGATAGTGATTTTGCAAAAATAAAACAGAGTGTTCCTAAAAACACGTTTTATATTGTTTTTTTTTAGTATTTTTTTAAATTTTAAATATTAATAAACCTCTTTTTTATTTAGTATTTTTTTAAATTTTGAATATTAATAAACCTCTTTTTTATTTAGTATTTTTTTAAATTTTAGATATATATGAACCAAAATTTTAAATTTAATATAGTTTATATTAAGTACATTAATTGTTAATAATGTATATTTAGTAAGGTTGCACATTTATTTACATTTGGCCGATTCCGATGCCGATATTAGACGCCCTATTATTTAGTGCAGCCATCGCGCAGTGGTTAGAGTTCTTGCTCAGAACCAAAATGTCTGGGGTCGATGCCGGCTCTAGCCCAAGCGACATTGATAAAGAAGGAGGTGTGAACCTTCTAGTTAAATGTTTTTCCGTGGTGCTCTGTGATAAGACTGTAACGACTTTTAAGAGTTTATTAACCACAAAGTATATAGATATTACCCAATATTGTAGGATAACCATTTAGAGATCATCGCTAAAAAAAACACTGCAAAATCGTTTTTCTTAAAGAAATATTTCAAGCATACTTACTATTTTATAATACTACTGTATTGAGTTTTAAACATAATAAATATAGTAGGTCTTTCTTTAAATGCTCGACAGAATAGAGAGTCAAGGGAAGAGTCAATCTTCTTTTGTCAAAATTTTTGACAAGCGAGCGGGGAACGTTGATGTCAACGAACGGGGGAACGTTGATGTCAACAATTTTTTTTAAACAAATTAAAAAAAAGATCTTTATTTTCATTTGGATTTTCTTAAGGCAGGGGAGGGTAGTCAAATGTTGACGTAATTATCAGATGAGAGGGGGTGGGGTGGGAAAGGGACATATAAATTGTCAAAGAATTCTAGACATAGTTAATGGACAGCCCAAGGTTTGTTTTGAGAATTTAATATTTGTTAGTCTGTAATAGCTATTTTTAATCTTGTTGTAACTTTGTTGCTATGCTGTTCATGTGTTCCAATACTGTCAAATACTGCTAGTAAAATTTTATCGCTTCTACTGACAGGTACGGTAGTCCATTATTATTTAGTAAACAATCATTTAGTAGACAACCATTTATTAGACATATCACAATCAAAAGTGAAATAAATTTTGCTTTTAAATATAGGCTCGGATTTAATATGAGCAGTGTCTGCCATGGTTCCCCTCAAAACTTTTGGCCCCCACAAACTACAGTTACTTGATTATAGTAGACACAATAATCAACAAAAATATCTTATCCAAATAGAAACATTTTTTGTGAAAGATGAACATCGGCTATATCAGAAATAAATAAACTTTTTTAAAAAAACCTTTACAATTATTCTGAGAAAAAGTTTAGCTACGATTTGTAATGGAAAAATTTCTTTTATTATACACCACTACTTCACCAAAAGGCGCGAAAACTAACAATAGCAATTTTGATTTCTAAAAAAATTCTAGTATTATTCGAAGACCCTTGTAGGGGAAGGAGCTTACACATCAACATTAAACTTTGGCAAAAACAAATGACAGATTATCTAAATTAGTTTTTATTTCCCATATTTATAACCAGAGGCGATTCTACGAATAAAATGAATTCTTAAAACGTACCGAGTGGATACTTAAAAAAAAAAAAAGGTTCTTAAAACTATAATTTCCCTGACTGAATAGTGTCAAACACCCGACTTGCCATCTAAATTTGTAAAAAACTGTAACTTGAAATTCGCTTTCTTTGGGGGAGGGGGAGGTGCAAAACCCCTTCTTTACCCCTCCCCCCTCTCTCACACACACACACACATATGCACATCCCCCCTAAAATCGCCTCTGTTTATAACTCCCAAATCAAAAATGTGATACAGACCACTTTTTGCTTCAAGGCGTTTTTTGCGTAGTCTATTGAATAAATTTAAACTATTCAAATTTTTTTATATTCTCTCAAAAATTATATTTAAAACTTTTTTCTCATTTGAACAAGAAGTATCTTTTTCTAGCGTTTTTTAAAAAAAATTAATTGGTCGAAGGTACAACACATACCTTGTACTTTTGACCGATGCGCGTTGATCTTTTCACTAAAATGTCATTGTTATAAAATCATGGAGTGTTTGGACCTTTTTTTAATATTTTAGCTCGTTATGTATTTTAAAGAAAATTCTGGTCTACCTCATGCCAATAAAAAAAAAACTACTTTAATGGGAAGACTAGGGTTAAAGACTATGGTTAAATGAGATTTAATTGCACATAATATGTTTTCTAATATATATAGTTATTTTTATTATTTTAGATAAGAAAAGAGCAAAAATATATTTTTACAACTTGTACTAGCTGGTGCTCTATATTTATTTACAAATGACAATTATACTTTTAGGGGAATTATTTTAATGATGACAACAAAAAGTACAATATAAAAAGTGTATAATATATTAATTGTTACAAGAAGTCAGATCAACATCAAACATAAGATGCTGGCGTTTAAATAAATCATGACCAGTACTTGGGGGTGGAAGTTTCATCTTCAAGTTCCACATAAATAATTATTGTCATCTTCTCGTATAAATTTGTCACAAAAGTCAAGTTAACAAGTATATTTACTCCATCATTAATTTCATCATTAAAAAAATTTGTTTTTATTATCACTAAAAATAATTTGTTCTGCAATTTTTTTTCTGTTTTTCGAGAAGGAATTTTTATCTTATTGGTTATTAGATTTTTGATTTAAAATAACTTCAATTTTAGGTGTATCAATTTAAATTCTTGACTTTTCCATTTTTGAAGTAGTTTTTTTCTTAATTTGGTTTTGAGGTAAAGTTGTATTATTTCAGGAGAAACAATAAATGATGTTGATGGTAAACTCACAGGAGCCATTTCCCCTAACACAGTAGACGATATTGTTAAAATAAAAATTTTAAATAGTCCAAAGAAACCAAGATAGAAACAAGGTTGTATTTAATGGGTTGAGTAAGGATGAACTGTTGTTAAAACTATGCCCAATTTTTTTGCTAACTCTATAACAGAAATGTTAACAAGACTTTTATGGTTATCAATTAATAAAAAAACAGGTTTTTTATTTGATGGTCATACATTATTAATAAATTATTAAAGAAATTGCACAAAAATAACTTCATTGAACCACCAGAATTATTAGCTGCTCCTACATTTCCAGGAATTATTTAATATGTTTTTGGTATTTAATAATTGTTTAATAGAATTTGTGGTACGTGGACTGTGGTAGTTCCAGTTTCATTAAAGTTCCAAATGTTTGATGGTTCAAAATTATAACGTTCTAAAACATTTTTGTAATTTATATATTCAATTCTTACGATTTCTCTATTGAATGCAGAAGATCTACCATGACTTGTAGGCTATCGCTTACGTAGAAGTTATTATTATATCTTTTGCACAAATCTTGCAGCTATTTATTTTTCATCCATGAAGTTTTAATTTTTTTATAATTAGCTAAAACATACTCAAATGCAAACGATCTGATCTTCTTTAATGCAAGTAATGCATATTTGCAGCATTTGCCAAGTAGTTTACCAAAATTATGAATATTTGCAACTTCCAGATTTTTTAAACTGCTTCAACTTATATATATATATAACTTATATAATTCCAAGTTGATTTTTTATTGTTGCAATATCCTGCAGCTTCACTTAAACACAATTTTTGTTCAAGCACAAAATTCACTGCATTAAGCATATCCGTTTTGGAAATCTTTTTGCGAAAAATACTAACTTTGCTCCTTTGCATTTTAAAACTAAAATGAATTAACAGAATTGATTAACCATTTTTATGCATTTAATTTTTATGCATTTAAAAAAAAAAAAATTAATTTCTAGAAAAATTAATTAATTTTTTAATTAATTAATTAAATTAATTAATTTCTAAAAAAAAACCTAAATTTGCTTTCTAATTTTGCTGCCCTTTCCCTACCTCTTCTTCACCCCACTCTCTCAATTAGGGGTTTGGGTTTAGCGTAGCCACTGCTCTGATGTTCCATGGTATTTCTGTTTCGGAACTTAATGTTGCTAAGTTAACCTAAAGCGAAGTGTGTTGTAGATTGTTGTTGTATTTTTGCTCAAGCATACGCGAATAACACATATAAAAAGAAACCAGAAAAACAATCTGTGACTATGTAAAGAGGACTTATCTTTGATTTTCTTAGTGTTTGCCTTGATAATCAAGATAAAACTTGGGCACTACATCAGGTTGGTAAAACTTGTAAAGAACATTTACGACAGTGGACTACCGGATGTCATCAATTAGTTAAGTTAAAGATTAGTTAAATGACTTTACCAGAGATTTTAAACTGACAAAAAAAGCTCTGAGTTACCTGCTTCCAGGTTGAAAGATAAAAATTAACTACAAGATACCAAAATTACTTTAATTACAAAATTACCTACACGAGAAAAGTATAAGCAACCCTGCAACTCTCAAGAAGAGAACTTTGTAATTTGGCACATAAATAGATGACTTCTTAAAAAAATGCGTCTATTTATTGAAAGCTCTAAGTGAAGTTTAAAATGTGTTCTTTAACACTATAAGAACAAACTTGATTCAATATCAATTGTTTACTCAACGAAAATAAAAGAAGAATATAAAACCATTTTTTTGGTTTTTAGAAAAGCCAAAATATCAAGAAAATCATTTGGTTATTTATGTGGACCTACAAAGAGTAAGACATCTCTTTGGACATAAAAGTGGCTACACCAAATATTCTTGCTTCTTTTGCCTTTGGGAAAGTAGAGGCAAAATACACCACTGGTTAAGAAAAGAAAGAAAATATGGACGTTGGGAAAAAGAAAGTCATAAACAACACTTTATAAAACGTATTAAATATATGTTCAATTCTAATTGAACAGAAGAAAATCATTTTTTCTCCACTGAGTATCAAACTAAGCCTTGTGAATCAATTCGTAAAAGATTTTGATAAAAGCGGATTGTGTTTTAGATATATAGAGGAAAAGATGCCACAGTCGAAGACGGAAAAAATTAAAGGAATATTTGACAGAAATAGTTGACGGTTCACCAAGATAACTTATTAACTTAACTATTAACTTAAATATTAACTGACTTATTAATGAAAATTTATGAAACATAATCGAGGAGCTAGGTGAAAAATTTTACCTAGATTTTTTAACGCACTACCACTACACCATTATCTCATTATATTGATGTTTGTCATAAAAAATAATTTGTTTTCAAATAAATATTAAGACTTAGCTATTTTTTCAAATTATTTTAATTTAAAAAACATAACATTTTTTAAAAAAAAAAATAAAAGAATATATGTAACTATAAAATTTCTTTTTATCTGTTATCACTAGATATTGGTTGTTGTGAAATTTAATCATCAGAACCATTTGCAGTTGGCATTTCTAGACCTTTAACTTCATCTAAGTCATTCTGTACTTGCTCGTGAATTTGCATTATAGCAATTGGATAAACAAGAACAAAAGAAAAAGTATCTTCGATCATATCTCCTTCAATGTTATATCTTTCACGGACATCACCACGAAGGAAACCACAAAAAATACAGAAAAAAAGAAGAACTGCATACGCAATGTATTTCATTCCAATAAACTTTGATCCAGCTAGTAGTAATAGAGCAGATATATAAAATGGTGTAGCATATAAAATGCCGTATAAAAGTGTATATCTCAATAATTTCTTATTTTCAATCTTCATTTTAGTGCGAGAAAGATAATACCACGGAAAAAAAAGTGATATTATTGATTTTAATACTCTTTGTTTATTATTTAATGACCACATAGATAGTTGCCATCTTCCTTGCAAAAGTTCAATTTCACCTGCTTCTTCCCTTAATGCTCTCCACAAAGAAACGCATGCCCAGTTTAAGAATATAGTAATTGGTAATCCACAAGCTACAGAGACTGTTTGCAAAGCCTCTAAGGAATCTTTACCTCCAGCTACAAGAAGCGCAGTTGCAGTTGCACCTTCTGTCAAAGACCAAAAGATTCTTTGGACAATTGGAGGGTTTAAACTACCGTTTGCTGATAAACAATCAATGACTAAAGATCCACTGTCAGAACTTGTTACAAAATAAAGAACGATTGCAAATAATGATAAAATTGACAAAGCCATTCCAATATCACCATACATGTTCATAACGTCAAACCACATGTCACTTGTTCCTCGACACGATAGCATAGTTGTTCCATAAATTCCAAACAGTTCCATTTGTCTAGTTTTATATCTAAAAAAAAACTTAATAAAGTTATTTTACAAAAAGCTTTTGAAAAAGAATAAAAGTAAACCATACACTTACTTGAAGGTATTATTTATAGGTAGATAATACATAGAACAATTCATCCCTTTGTTTTCTGCTTTGTTTTCAAATTGTATACCAACTCCTCCAAACACAGTCATCCAAATCAATGAGTATATAGTCGGAACCGTTAGAGTATAAAAAATAAAGTCTTTGATTTTGCGTCCTCTACTAATCTTTGCAATAAACATTCCAACAAATGGCGACCAGCTGACCCACCATCCCCCTGAATAAAGAACATATATATATATATATATATATATATATATATATATATATATATATATATATATATATATATATATATATATATATATATATATATACATATATATATATATATACATATATATATATATATATATATACATATATATATATATATATATATATATATATATATATATATATATATATATATATATAATATATATATATATATATATATATATATATATATATATATATATATATATATATATATATATATATATATATATATATATATATAGATATATATATGGATATAGATATATATAAATATAGATATATATTGAGATTAAATTAACAGAATTAAATGCAAATTGATTTTACAATGGTGGTGCAGAATAAGACATCAAATAGAAGAGAATCGGAATTTTTAAATTTTTAATTTCAATTTTATCTACAGTATTTTTTTATATCTTAGTATCAAAAAAATAATTTTTAAAAGCAAGTTTGGGGAAATAAAGGTATTTTTTTTATTTCTATGAACTTTTTACAATAAAAAATGGTCCAGGTATCAATCCATTTAGGAGCTTCTTTTTTGTCAGGTGCATTTCCTAATTGAGCGAAGGCTTCTGTATGAAACCCAACTTGAATTAACCATTGTAGATAATATCCAATAGATTGCACAAATAAGTTCAATAGATATGAAGTGTTATCAGCAAAAAATATAATCGCCATAATAAATGAACCTATATTATAAGCATAAAACTAATAAGAAATATAAAATTATACCTACACACACACACACACACACACACACACACACACACACACACACACACACACACACACACACACACACACATACACACACACACACACACACATACACACGCACACACACTCACACACATACACATTAACACACACACACACACACACACATACACACACACACACACACACACACACACACACACACACACACACAAGCACACACATGCTACATTAAAATTACTTATTATAAATACGATGGCCTAATATAGTGAAGTAAAACATACCCATTCCAAAACATAGTTCTGATAATCTCCGGATTCCAAATTTTACTCCGCTAACCACTGAGAGAGTTGCACAAGCTGTTACACACCAAATGATAATTATTTGCACTGAAATGCTTTCGTTAATTTTTGGATTAATCCGGTGTATTCCGTTATTTAATTGAGTTGCTCCTAGCCCAAGACTCGTGCAAACACCAAACATAGTGCATATAATACACAAGGTGTCAATTAAATCTCCCATAATTCCAAAAATTTTATCTCCAATAATTGGATATAAGCATGTTCGCATAGTAAGAGGCAAACCACGACGGTAAGAAAGGATACCTAGTAACAAACCAATTATGACATAAACAATCCAGCTGTGGATTCCCCAATGAAAAAATGTAAGATTGATAGCATCTTGTGCTTCATCGTTGTTGCTATAACTACGGAAATACTAAAATATTATTTTTTGTTTGTTTATTGTTTTTTGTGTTTGTTTTCTTACTTTTATATGAAGGTGTATAAGAGTATTATAGCCAACAAAAAATAGAATTTATTTTAGGTACCTCTTATTTGTTAGAACACATTTACTTTTTAAATATTGAAGAAAATATTTTGCATTAAAAAGTTATTTATATTTATGCAAGCATTTATTAATTTAAAAAATTTTCAAGCATCACATGGGTTTAACGAATCCAAGAGTTATTTATGTGTTACATAAATAACTCTTGTTAATAATGTTAATAAAATTAATAAATTTTTTCAATAAAAAAGCGATCTAAATATATCTTTATAAAAGTTTAAATAGTTTTGTCAAATGAAAGTTTTCTTTAAACTGGTTGAAATATAATGAACTCCCTATATCAATTCCCAATAATTTTTTGATTTAAGGAAACAAGAAATTTAGAATGTATTTTCCAATTTAGAGTGAAAAAAATCTTTTTGTTTCAATAAATATTTCAATACGACTTATACACCTTCATACTTTAGTTTGCATAAAATTTATTATCTTTGTTTAATCTAAAAATTATCAAAAATATTTAGTCAACTTCCGCTCTCGAAATAATCATTTAAAGGTTACCGATTATACTAATCGGCTGAAATGATAAGATTTGAAAGGTAGAGAATAAAATAATTTTCCGGACATTCAAATTCTCTGTAATTTTTTATAAGCATAAGTTTTCTGTAAATTTTTATAAGCATAAATGTTTATGTGACACATAAATAACTTTTATGAGAGATTGATATAACTCTTTGTTTTTAATTAAAAGATTTTTTGTTTAATCTTCCTCAAATAAAACATTTACTTCTGTTATATTAATAAATGATTAAATTTTAATGTGAAAGAAAAAAAAAAATCTCTGTTATTTTCATACTAACCTTTCAAAGAGTTTTTTACTTCAAAGTTTTTACATGAGCTAAATCTTATTACCCATAGGTCCGTTGGGTATAGGCTGAGTATATATTTTTACATCTACTTCAATAAAAATTTTATAAGTCAAAAATAAGTTTTAATCCTAAATAAACTTAGTTTTAATAAATACCGTTTATCGTACATAATATATATATTTACATAAATACCGTTGAAAAAAGCGATTTCCAAAATGGCCAGGTTTATAATGGTAAATAGGTTCAGCAACTCCATAGTAAAAAAGACCGATACCAAGTCCAGCACTGAATAGCATCATAAAATATGCACTATCACTATATTCTGGTTTTTCATCATTGCATCCTTTATGAAAAACATTAGGAATAGTTTACATCAAGAGACTTTTTATTAAATTTAAAAAACTAAAAAAAAAAAAAATTAACTTTTTTATTTTTTAGAAATAAATAAAATTATTTTTAAAATATACCAAGTCGGAGCTCTGAGTATTTAGAAAAGTATAGGAAAATAATAAAAAGACCCCAAACATCTTTGGTTCCGATGTACAACCATGTCCATTTATTAGTAACCCAATATTTCACTTTAAGCAGTTCAAGTTTTGCATCAATAGGTTTAAAAATGCAGTAGCCAACAAAAGTCCAGATAATTACAGCGGATACTATGCTGGTGATTGGGTTAAAGTAAAAGTTAAACGGACCAATCTTTGATTCCACACTTCGACATCTAAGATGAGATAATTCAATCATTTAGCTATTTAAAATTTTGTTTAAAGAAAGTTCTCAAATGTTTACTTTTTGCGGCACATAGTAAACGTACTTGTTTTTTTTTGCTTACTAATTATTTTTTACTCATCACAAAGAGACTTTAGTCAACTTCAATGTTCAAAATTTACATGGTCATAATTTTGAACACTAAGAGGTCGTTGTAAAAAATTTAAAAATGATCGATAAGTAGAAATTAACTTTAGAATAGTAAAAAATATATATTTTATAAACTTGGTGCTCTCATGTTTAGTGCAGGTGTAGCTAAAATCTTACAACTTTTTTGCTTCCAGGTTTCAAACATTTTACATAGCATCTTTATTTAACACAAGTATAACATATGAATATTAAAAAGTCCGGAAGTTAGCTATCACAAACATCTAAAAATGCTGCATCCGCCACTGCATCCTTATATTATTTTTACTTGTACCTGAAATTTTTATCGTATTTTTATAGTATTTTCTACCGGTTTAAAATCGGTTTCTATTAAAAGATCTTTTTTTTTTTCAAATCTTCGACTTAAATTTTTATTCTAAAATAAGCTTTATATTACAATTTATAAAAGCAAACATACAAAAAAAAAAAAAATTATTATCAATTTATTACAATAATTTTATTAAAATTATTTTATCTATTAATTTTATTCAAACTTATTTTTTAGTTTTTTATAATTTATAATTTTAGTTTATTGAAAAAGTTTATTAAATTAAGTTAATTGTAAGATAAAACTAACAAAATAATGCCCAGTATATATTTAACAGTTTGTGCAAAACTATGAAGGTTAGTTTTAGTTAATTAAAATACAAAAATTTATTAAATTTATACGTGGTTAGGGAGCAAAAAGATTAAAAATATGTCTTTTTGTTTCAGAATAAAGAGTCGTTCGAATGGTAAATTTTCTATTTTAACATTTTTTTAAAATTCCTAGGCGAGAGTTTTGATATAAATGCAACAGTATCGTAGTGATAGTGAAAAGCCTACAACGTTGCTTTAAATAGGTTAAGCGCATATTTATGCATTAAGTGCTTTAACTCAGCTTCATTTAAAAGATAGCAGTTTTATTAATGCGCTTCCTATTAACTTATTATTTAAACTTGTTACACTGCAAGAGGTTTGTTTGATTATACTTATGAAACGTACCAAAGAAGCGTAAAGAAACGTACCAAAGAAGCGCAAAGAAACGTACCAAAGAAGCGCCAAGACTGCGTTTTTGAAATCTTAAGTTTAATTTCATTAAAATGTATTTACTAATACTTATTGTTATCAAGCTGTTCTTTTTACTTTTAGTACTTTAGTTAATATTGACTGTTACTTTACAAATCGGCAATAGTAACATATTAAAAATTGGTCTATAGATAAAAAGTTTTACAGAAAATTAAAAAATTGCCTATTAAACATAAAGAACTATCAAAAAACTAGGTTACTTAACCTTTAGTACGGAGTAGCTTTTTAACACTATGAAGCAGCAAATAAACAGAATCTTTCAATGTTATCAAACTTAAAGGAGTAGTAAAAAAAGCAACGTTGCATAGCACTAAAAAATAGCGGGAAAAAAGATTACTAAAATTTAGTTTAAAATCTACGAGAATATTCATTTTATAAAACATATTATCCGGTGATAATAACGATCAGTGTTTAGAATGTTTTGAAATATATTGGTAACTAATTAAAGAATTAAATATTTATTCTAAGAATACATAAAATAACAAAGTAATGTCAAATTACTTGTTCATATACTTTTGACGTATAACTTCAATACTTTTTTGATCAACAACATTTTCATCGGAGTAAGTCTTTTCGTCGTTCATTTGGAAGATACAGCAAACTCCAAGAAATTTCAATATCAAAGTTAATTAAACTCTAAGCTATTTAAATATAAACAAAACATTTAAAACTGTGTATGCTTCAAACAAATAAACACGATAAATACATATTTGCTATGTATAAGTTTGTTTATATGTATAATTAATGTTATTTATGCTGTTATTTGTGTTACATTTTTAATATATTGTAATTAGAACATTCATTATGCTAAATTAGGACTGTATAGAAAATGTAATAAACGATAAAAGATATTATATCATATTAAATGATAGGGTTTTACTATTAGATAAGGACCATATCGTGCATTTTTAGATCGTTTGTTCAAAAGTCAGAGTCCAACCACTACTCGCTGACTGCAATTAATGTAACTTTATAAACTCTTAATAATACAGTTTATAAAAAAATGTTTATTGCAGCCAGCGCATAGTGTTTGGAACTCTGATTTTTATACAAACGTTATACAAAAGTACGCTGTGGTCACATAAAAAAATGATAATATGATAAATAATATTATTAAACAAACAAAAAAATTTACAAAATAACTGTGATATTATACAGATGCAAAATAATAAAATAGCATATTTTTGTAGAAATACAGAAACACGCATTAAAAAAAAATTAACTATTAACATATTTGGTATGAATAAACGCTTTTTAGATTAAAAATGTCAAGAATATAGGAACAAAAATATACTGGCTGTCTGCATACTTTACAGCTTTTGACTTTTTGTCTTTTAATTGTCCAAAGTATTTACATTTAAGCGCAGAATTGAAAAGTCTGTTTCAATTTTTTTTTTAATTTTAAGTTAGGTTTAAAATTAAAGAAAAACTAAAAACTTAAGATGAGGCCCATAATATCTTACATGCTACCTATAAATGTCTATTTAGTTTCTAGTTAAGTTATTGTATGTGGAATATTAACTTTTTTGATATAACTATTGAAATTCGTTTCACGTAAGAAACCTATCGTTATCGTATCGTTATCGTTTTTTCCGTGACACAAGTTTTAAATCCATATAATTAAAAACATAGAATTGTGTTAACAATGTTTTTACTCAAATTTAAATAGACATTTATAGGTAGTATGAAGGTATTATTGCCCAATTCTAAACGTTTCTAGTTTTTTTCGAATTTCCAATATAGTTAACAAAAGTCATTTCTTTTGAAAAATAAGACTTTTTAATCCTGCTGTTAAAGTATATAGTTTTAAAAAACATTGCATCATTAGAAAAATCGTAAAAAGGTGACAATTAAACTTCGTGACTTACATGGTTGAATTTTACATGTTTACTTGCGGCATTTTGAACAATAAGACTTGATTTAGCAATAAAATACCTTTTTACTGACGTGTTCTCCAATTAATTGTGGTCTTGCTATAGGAGGTAGCATATTTTCGTCAATTTTTGTTTTTCATTAGAAAAGTTCTGGAAAATCAATTGTTTATATCAGTTGATACTTCAAATTTTTGTAGTCAATAAAACTATTCAATGAAAGTTTTAAATATATTTGTAAATATATTTGCATACATAAATATAACCGATATAAATCAATAAAAGAAATGAAATAAAGTACCTTTGTTTTCGCATTAAAAAAAGTTTTATTTGTTCAGTTTTTTGATTTCGTTTTTCTTGTATACCGGCTGAAAAATTATATTTTTTCTTTGGAATTTTCGCAAAAACTAAAACTCACTAAAAATTTCAAGTATCTTTATTGATCATTTAGTGCAGCTCTCTTTTGGGAGTTAGTTTTAAGATCTTAGTTCATGAAAAAGTAGGTATCACGTGATCAGCATTTTTTTCTTGTACAGCTAATTGAAGTATAATAATATTTATTATATTTTATACAATATATATAAAGTTGTTTTAAAAAGTTTTTTGCCGCTTTTTATGGTGTCATTCATCGCTGTTAAAAATACAGTTTATGAAGTAATGTTTATTGCAGCCAGCGCGTAGTGGTTGGAAATCTGATTTTTGAACAAACGGTTTAAAAATACACGATATAGTCAGAAAAGTGATGTTGGCGATGAATGATTTTTATTTATTTATTTGAATTTCATACTATTCTTCTCATTGCTTTTTACATACAACTTGCAGAAAGATCTATAGTAGGACTCTTATTATTTCTAATTTACGTTAATGATCTCTGTAATTTATGTTAATAACCTCTGTAATGATGACATTGATAAACTTTTTTAAGGTATCAAAGTCAAGCTATCAAAAATCTTTGCCTTATTCAAATCTAAATAACTTTCACTCAATATTGATAAACCTAAAAGGACACTCTTCCATCAAAGTTTTAAAAAAAAAATTACTTTGAAGTAATATTTCTCTAATATTATATATATATATATATATATATATATATATATATATATATATATATATATATATATATATATATATATATATATATATATATAAATTAAGGCGGTTCATAAAAAACTTTTTTTTGAAAATGTCCGCTTCAAAGTTGTTAATTTACTTCAATGGAGTACACATAGCTATATTCCAAATTTCATCAAAATCGGTTCATATCTTGACCCTCCTCCATTGATTTGAAATTTCTGACTTTGCGCAACAGAAAAATGGCCCAAAAAACTACAATATCTTTCACTTTATTACAAATTGAACAATATTAGGCAGAAATTTCAATGTTTTTAAAGAACAATAAAAGATGCAAAATTAAAAGTTATACAACATAGTCTATAGTAAAATATTTTTTGTTAAGGGAATATATGACTATTTTGGGATAAAATCCTTCTTTGATTCCTGCTTTGGATATTTGGCGCGATTCACCATTGATGTTTTTATTGTTGAATCCCGTCGCTTCGTACTTACTACCTTCTGACTGGCCTTTGTAACCGGCTTCACAGCTCGTTTATCCATTTGGGTGTGACATTTAAATTTTGGTACAATGAGAGGTTCTGCTACCAGGGCCAACAATTCGCTATTTGACATGTTCCTAATCAAAGGAGGTTCTAGTATATCAGTTTCACTCTACTTAATCATTAGCTGCCACTTTGATGCTTTAAAATTCAGTTCAGGCACCCGAAAAAGACGTACAGAAGAAGCTTGATCTTGGTGATTAGCTCTGGCTTCAATAATCGTTTGAACAGCATCTATGCGGTCTGGCTAATGGGATGAAGCTAGTTCAGCTAGCAAAATATTTTTTGGATGGGCATAAAAAGCGTTCCGTTGAATGCAACGCTGTACGATTTTCTTAGCAGCTCCATCTTCTATTAACTCAAATCTTTGCATTAGGAAAAACCGATTTTGAGGACCATTAATCCCAAGCTCATAATACTTTACAGTAAACCACATAGGAGCATAAACATTCACATTATATCCAGTCAAAATTTTTAAAACTGTTGATGGTTTTGTTGTACTTGCATACAGCCTACAGATACGCCATGCAGTCGTAAGCCACCTACTGTGGCTACATGGTCCAATCTTCAGATGCTCTAAATCCTTATCGAATTGCCCGGAAATGAGCGCTGATGTAATTCTCCACATGTATTTCTGGTCTGTCGACAAATCTTTCCAAATTTCGTTGGGCATTTTAGATAGAGGTTGAGAACGACCAAAGCGTTTGTATTTGATGACAGGATAATTCAAGACATCTGGTAGTAACTTGCCAATAGGTCTAGCGAAATTGTTTGCACCTGTAGTTGGATCATCCAACTCAATTATGATGTGCCTTAATGGCAACTCATTCGTGTGCAGAAGGCAAACATTCCATTGTAAAGCACGCCCAATGCTTACTTCAATCAAAAGGTTTATTCCCCCTTCTGCTCCGACATTTGTGTTAGTGCCATCACATGCCAAGGCTTCAATTTAATCAATTATGTTTTTTTTTTGTTCAAGTTTTCCTTGATTGATAGTGTTTCTCACCTACTCTCTCTTGCGTTAAAGTCACATCTTTTCGACCATCGTAACCAATTTCACAACACACCACTAATGGTACTGCATCGTCTTCTAATATTACATTAACAGCTCTGCGAACTTTTGATTTGTCAACTATTTTGGGAATATTGTATATACGATGAATGGCATTAACAATCATAGCAGTTGCTCTATCAGAGATCAAATTACGCACCTTTGCTTCTGCTATCTATCGAAGATCTCTTCGTCGATACTTCAAAGCAACTTCTATAACACTAGCAGTACTTGAGGCTGAGATCAATGTACTTGATTTATTCTGGAAGTCCGAATCTGTATTAATATCCGGACTTGTATTACTGTTATCTTCCTCGGAGTTTTCGTCCTCATCCCAGCCAATTTTCAAACTCACGGAAGCAACAGTTTCAAACTGCAATTCTTGTCGTTGTCGTTATCTTACACCCCTGGTGTCGTCGGCTTTCTTACTTGACTCTTTCTGCTATTGTTTTCTTGTAGCCTCTTTATCCACTGTACTACTTATGATCATCTTTCGAATAGATCACTGATCTTCAAGAAAATCTCTCTCCATCCTGGGAACATTCTCATTATCAACAACTTTAAACAAACCAGAAATTTCTTTGCAAAACTCAACTTTCTTATTTTTAAAGTAGTCTGAGAGATCATTGGGATTTGGACACTTTAGGTTCTTATACCTTCTGGCAGTTGGTATTCGAATTATACTTTGACGCTTTTCATAAACTTTGAGAACACAGTCCTTAATCGTGTCTTTTTTAACTGTTGGTAAGGACACACGTTTATAAACGCTTTCAACTTGTGGCACAATAATCTCTGCAATAATAGAATTATCAGATTCTTTTTTTCCAGAGCTTTCTATCATCCATTTTTGTTTCTCATCGAAGAAGCTTCTAGCAATATCTAATTCTGTTGGAAGTACCCTTACAGGCAGTTCTGCCGGCTGACCAAAGGCAAGCTGATCTGTTGCCATTCGGGTAGGTATTTTTGTTAAACCTGTCATTATAATCTGTGAAAAAGAAAGAATATTGATATTAAATTGCATACTATGAGAAAAACGTGGATCAAATAAAGATGTTAGTGATGAAATTATATCCTGCATCTTTTATTGTTCTTTAAAAACATTGAAATTCCTGCTTAATATTGTTCAATTTCTAATAAAGTGAAAAACATTGTAGTTTTTTGGGCCATTTTCCTGTTGCGCAAAGTCAGAAATTTCAAATCAATGGAGGAGGGTCAAGATATGAACCAATTTTGATGAAATTTGGAATATAGCTATGTGTACTCCATTAAAGTAAATTAACAACTTTGGAGCGGACATTTTCAAAAAAAAAATTTTATGAACCGTCTTAATATATATATATATATATATATATATATATATATATATATATATATATATATATACATATATATATATATATATATATATATATATATATATATATATATATATATATATATATATATATATATATATATATATATATATATATATATATATATATATATATATATATATATATATATATATATATATATATATATATATATATATATATATATATATATATATATATATATATATGTATATATATATATATATATTCTTTTGCAAACTGAGAATTTACTTTAGGTGTATTTATTGACCTCTCCAAGGCGTATATTCTTTTGCAAACTGAGAATTTACTTTAGGTGTATTTATTGACCTCTCCAAGGCGTTTGATACTGTGAATCACAGGGTACTTGTTGAAAAGCCTAATATGTATGGTATATTAGGCATATCCAACAAGTAGATAGCAGACTACTTTAGTAACCGTACGCAATCAATACATTATGGAAATAATAAGCATACGAGTTTATCTTTGATTTCTTGTGGAGTGCCCAAGGGATCTATTCTTAGGCCTCTACTTTTTCTTATATATGTAAAAGATCTCTTGAGAGTATCAAATATATCAATAATAATGTTTGCCGATGACAGTAACTTTTTTATCTCAGGTAAAGATATACATCAACTCTTCGTACAAATGAACGATGAGCTAGTAAATATTTCAACGTGGTTTAAAGCAAACAAACTCTCAATTGTTTCGGATAAAACAAAGTTTTCTTTATTCCATCCTTTAAATAAAATTTAAAAAATTCCTATATGTATAAGGTTATATATATATATATATATATATATATATATATATATATATATATATATATATATATATATATATATATATATATATATATATATATATATATATATATATATATATATATATATATTTAAGGTTATATATATATATATATATATATATATTTAAGGTTATATATATATATATATATATATATATATATATATATATATATATTTAAGGTTATATATATATATATTTAAGGTTATATATATATATATATATATATATATATATATATATATATATATATATATATATATATATATAACCATATATATAACCATATATATAACCATATATATATATATATATATATATATATATATATATATATATATA